TCAAATGGAGCTTCATCTGTTCCAAACAAACAAAATATTCGACAAGACATCCTAACCAGCATTTATAATATTATTGGAAAAGAAAGGCCAACCAAAGCTAAAAAATAATTTTTATGTTTAAAGAATTGTTAGAAAAGAAATTTCACTCAAACGCAAATTTATAAAAAAAAAGATGGAAAAGAAAATGCATTGTTGTTCATAATAATACTGAGAAAACAACTAAAGAGTGAAAAGAAAAAAAACTATAGTGGCTAGAGTATCATAATTTGATGAAAAAATTACCTTGTAAATTATCATAATAAAGATCTAGCACTTGAAGCATATCCAGTTTTCCAATACCTTCTGGCAAATCACCTACAAAATAATAATAATAATAACATTTCGAGATATAGAATTAGAAATTGGTCACGGATATACCTATTGAGAATATTTTCCACATATGTGATAAAGACATAAGAAAGATGGCTTAATCCCACAAGTGCCATATATGATGAATCATTTTTTCCAAATCTAACTTGCGGACCCATATTTTTAGTCGCCTGTCCATGTATATTTATATATATATATATATGACGATATAGTACTTGAATGAAATTCTCTTTTCCTCATTTGTATTTTACATCAAAGACTATGTTTCATATAAATGCCAATACACACAGTCATATTAATCAATCTATACAGCCCACAAACCTACAAAAACAATTATAAGATCAAAAGTTGGAAGTTCCTCCTATGCATTAATTAAGAGAAAGCAAAATTTACACTTTAGACATGTCCTTACCATCGTCACTTAAAAGAACAATAATTGATGGTTACTTTTAGATAGTCATTTAAATTTAAAACCAAAATTTCACACACAACCACTACAAAAAATATGACTTTTAGCGGTGATTTTTAACAGCAACTAAAAAAGTCGCCGTTAAAAGTAGAGTTTTAGCGGCAACAAATCATAGTTACCACCAAAAGTAAACTTTTGCACTTTTGGCAGCGACAAAAGTCGCCCCAAAACTTTATTTTTAGCGGTGATAAATTAAAGTCGTTACCAAAAATGACTTTAATTTGTCGCCTTTAAAAGTTTACTTTTGGCGGTGACATTTGTCACCATCAAAAGTATTTTTATAAAAATAATTTAAAAATTAAAATAATTAATATAATTTACTTTTGGCCGCGACATTTGTGCTCACCAAAAGTATTTTTATAAAAAATAATTTAAAAATTAAAAAATAATTAATATAACCTACTTTTGGCCTATTTGTCACCACCAAAAATATTTTTATAAAAAATAATTTATATAATCTACTTTTGATGGCAATATTTATAAAATTATAATTTAATTTTTTAAAAAAATTATGAATTGTTTAAAAAATTTGAAATTAAATAAAATTATTCAAAATATATTTATAAAATTAAATTTCTTATTTTATGTATAGAATTAGAAATAAATTATATATAGGAATGTGAAACAAAAGAAATAATCATCAAAATATGCTAAGTTTAATTATTAAATTATTTCTAATTTTATATTATTCATAATCCTTTTTTAGACATATATAGCTCATATTTTTTTAAGAATTATGTTATTAAGCTAGTATTTTAATATGATAAATTAAAATCTTAATGGGTTATTACTTCAATTATAATTAGGTTGAGTTATACATAAATTATCACTTACAATCAAATACATAAATGGCATTGGGAAGTTAAAGTTGTACAGATGTTGTGAGATGCAAATGATATTGTAGATTACTTAGCATTTTACACACTTGATGCTTAGCTTGAGATATATATAGTGTTTACTTCTTCTACTGTGCTCTAGTGACTTTTGGATGAGGATTCCATATAATTCCTCCTAGTATATTTAGGTTTTCATTGCTATAAAAAAGAAGTTGTTGATAACATTTTTATAACTAATTATTACTAAGAATAATATGAATAACTACTCAAATCCATCTGGCTATGAGGTTGAAGATGATTAGATATTAACTAGATTGATCACATATGAGATTCTTGTAATTATCAAATATTGTAAAAGTTATTAATATTTATTTTCAAAATTATTCAAAATTATTATTAACAAACTTTGTGGTTAAAATTAATTTGTTATTAAAATAATTTTTTAAGATATTAAAAAAATATTGATAAAATATATTTTTATTAAAAGAGGGGGAAACATTTAGCTATTTTGAGAGAAGATAAAAATTTAATCATTTAGTTCATCAATTTTTGGGGAAAATATGGAGAAGAAAAAAGCAAAAGATATTTAACATAAAATAATATAATACATATTTATAAATAAATTATATACTTAATTTTCATTTAAAAAATAAAAATATAATTTAAAATTTATTACAATGTATATAAGAATATGATTTAATATTTAAAAATTTTTTATTTTAAGTTTATTTTCCTAAAAAAATAATATTTACTGGTGAAAAATAATATTTTATTAAAATTATAATTTAAATATTCATATAAATTATTTTTTCATATTAATAATGGAAAATAAAATAAAATATATGTATATCTTTTTAATAATATATTATTTGATATATGTGTATACAGTTATATAATATATATTTAATTTGACATATAATAACTGTAAGTGCATTTCAACTCAACTAGTAAAGAAGGGAGGCTTAAGGCTTGGAGGTGATAGAGATCAAGGGTTCAAACTTTGGGTTTGCTATATTTTGCAACAAATATGTGTCGTAGCGTGTGAGGTGGCTTGACAAGGCACACATGTGGCAGGTGATGTGGTACGAGATGGTGGCGTAACACATGAGAAGGCTTGAGGGGGCACACACGTGGCAGGTGATGTGGCATGAGATGGTAGCGTGGCACATGAGGTGGCTTGAGGAAGTGCACACATATCATGTGACGTGGCATGAGATGGCTAGTTGATGTGGCATCATTTGTTAAACACGTGTGACATGGCACAAGATGACAAGTGACATGGCATCACTCAATGTACACGTGGTAGAGTAATGTGGCATAAAATAAATTATTATTTCTTAAAAAAAAAGAGTTTTCTAAAAAGATGTTTAGTGGTAAAAATACTATTGTGTCGCCACTAAAAGTCTACTTATATTGTCGCTGCCAAAAACTATTAGCGACGATTGTTATAGCAACAACTTTTAATGGCGGAAAGTCATCGCTAAAAACTTTTAGCAGCAACATTTTGTCACCACCAAAAGTCTGTTTTTTTTTTTGTTTTTTGTAGTGAACACTTTGAACCCACAAGTAAGTAAACAAATGGAATGAACGTTAAGACTCTAAAATGACAGCTTGTACAAGTCTTTGAACAATTACCAAAAAAACACCATATATTAAGAAAGTAAGATATTCGAAGAATTGCAACTAACTCCCAGATAAGGACACAATTAGTCAAAGCCCTAACAACACATGAAAATTGTAAGTAAAATATTCAGCAGTAATTGTTTGAACAATTTTAAGTCAAAAGTTAGTTTTACCGAGGTCTAAGCACATGAAGTGTTGTCAAGTTTCCAATAAAAAACGATTATGATGCCCTTCTTAATTAATAAAAAGTATTTTAGAATTTTTGATGAACTATTTTCTACATAGTTAAAATTTAAATTAATGTGTATATTTTCAAAATTATAGGGTGGTTCAGTAATATTAACAAAAGTAAAGATAAATGGATATTTTTTACACTAAAAATGAATCATAAATAATATGAAAATTTTTCTATATATATATATATATGTATATATATGAAATCAAAAAACATTTTGAATAAAAACTTACATAGATAAAGAAATTTATAATTACTAACAATAATTATTATGTGCAAAGTAGGTGAAAATGGTGCATGATGTATATACTATTATATAAAAATATGAATAAAGTATTAAGTTCGTTGAATTTATATCATGGTCACTCCTAAATCATTAAAATGTCAATTGTTTTTATATTATTTACAATATTTTTTATTGAAGTACTTAGTTTTGTAAAGGTAATATTTTGTTAATTTGTTTATTTTTATATGAATTTGTAGTTTTAAGTTTTATATTATCATGCACCAGCAATTATCTATATGCATATATGTTTGATTTGCTTCAGTGACTGGCATATATATGATATAGCTTCAGCGTGTTCTTTTGGTAAAGATTAATTCTTGTTCATATAAAGCCCAATATATGTCATACTGCCACTCTAATCATTCTATAAAGCCCACGAACACAACAATAATTATCAAACTCAAAACTAGATGCTTCCAACTCAAACAATGTTAGGCCACCTCCAATCAGAAGTTGGTCCCATGCCAACTTATTCCTTTTAATTAAAATTATAAGAATTTAATTGCACTTGACACATGTGCTTATCACAATCACTTGAGATATGTTGCCTCATTTTCCCTGACTTTTATAGAACTTCTTTTTTTTAATTCTTTTTGGATCCTCCCTTCTCTCCTATTCGCTAATTCCTATATTTGGAATAATGAGCAGAATTGACTGTGGTTGATAAGTAACAAAATTGGACAAATCAATGTTGAATAAGATGTTAGACCATCCAAATTTTACTTTCTATTCACATATTAACATTATATATTTTTCGAATTTTTTATGTTTTGAAATTCTTGTAATTAACCAAGTGAAAACAACCAAAAAGACTAAAATAGTTTGGATACATGAAAATGTGATATACTTTAAAATATTTAATCTAAATATTTAACCGAAATTTTAATTATAAAATTTGACATAATTTAAAATATTTAATCTAAATATATTATGTCATTGAGATTTATCAGGCTGAAATAGAGTCTTTTTAAGGGAAAAAATGGTAAGACTACAAACATGGTGATAGAATTATCAACCAAATTTTAAAAGTTATAAACTAATTTTTTATATAATTATGGGGTCCGGATTTTCTCATAATCCCCTTTCTCCTTTTCTTCTTCTCATCTCATCTGCACCCTTAGATAATAAAAATTAACACAAAATTGATGAAAAGTTTCACATTATGATTAGTTGAAAGTATACCATCTATATTATTTTCACCAAGCGGTAGATGTTGAAGTTTTGTCAAGTTTTCAATATTCCTTGATATTTGGCCAGACAACTTGTTAACACCTAGATATATTATTTTCAGTTTTGTGAGAGCACCAATTGCTTTGGGAATATCTCCTACAATGTGATGATAAAGAAAAAACAACATTATTATGAGTTCTCTTGTATAACACGATTATGGTAAAAGAAAAATAAGTAATAAATATAATTTTATGAATGCATTTTTTTGAAGTTATTGTGATTATGTTATAATAAATACTGAATTTGTATTTAAAAGAAATAAAATAATAAAAGCTCTTAAACTAAACAAAAAAGTTTTATATGTAACCGCTAATTTGAACTCTTTTCAATGTTAATTATCAACCAAAAATTATTGGACAAAACAATTCATTAGCATAAATATACAAATTTTGAAATTGCAATCATTTATTATGGTGCATAAATGATTAGATAAAAATAAAAAATGCAATGTTTTGTTGTGTTTTTCCTGCATTTTTTGAATGGTTTCTTTTGAAGTTATTCTAGACAAGTTATAACTCATGAACTTGTATTGAAAAAAAAGCAAAAAGGGAAAAAAAAAAAAAAGATAAAGCTCTTGAACCCAATAGGGGGAAAAATAAAAAAGGAAATCGATGTATTTTGATAAAGAATGTCTGAGACATGTCCTAACAATATGCAAATTTCTGACGCAAGCTTTTTATTTATAAAAAAAAACATATTATGTTATATGAGTAATAATTTATAACATAACTAGAGAAGGAATTATGTAAAATATATAACGTAAAAAAATTATCTAGCAGTTAAAAGAGGACTTCAAAGAACGTTTGACGATTCATCTTTCTCAAATAAGAACATTTTACTATCACCAATAATATATAATTAAAAATAAAAATTAAAGAAATATCAAATATATTAATTTGCTAAGGTGAAGTTAACTTGAATAGGGAAGGATACATCTGCAAAGCTGATTTTATGAAATTTATTCTGACCAACATAAGTGAAAAATTTACGTCCAAGAAGATTAATTAAGCTTGATAATAAGGCATATTATCTTAAGGCATGCATAAATGTACATTAAAGTTAAGCAAAATATTTTCAAATAGAAAATAAATTTATCTCATTGTAAAATGGATGAAATGCTAACAACACATTAATTATGCAAGACATACCTGTTAAAGAGTTGAAAGACAAAGACAACAACTCGAGTGAGGATAAGATAGAAATAGTTGGAGGTATTTTTCCTGAAAGCTTGTTTACTGCAATCTGTAAAATCTTCAAACATTGAAGTTTCTCAATCTCAAATGGAATGAATCCTTCAATAAAGTTATCATTCCAGTTCAAAGTCTAACTTTGACAAATTGGATATGCTTTTAGGAATAACACCTCCAAAACTATTATTACGGAGATGGAAGTGCTGAAGCATAAATAAGCTTCCAATCCAAGTCAGAATTTCTCCATTGAATATCATTGTAGCTCAAGTTGAGAATTTGTAGCATGTGTAATTGGATCAACTCTTTTGGCAACTCACCATAAAGGTTATTACTATGATGGTCAAGTTCAACCAAAAAAGATAAATTCCCAGTTTTTGAGCGCAACATTCCATTGAGACCCATCTCACCAAGATTCTAGGCTATTACTCTCTCATGGTAAGCATCACACATAACCCCAACCCAAATTGCAAATGGAAGAAGAGTTGGACTAATTAGCCAAGTGATTGTAAGGGTCCTTCACAGAAAACTTGAAAGTAAGTAGTGCCAATTCATCATTCGTAGTAAGATTGGTGTGGCATAAATTGAAACAAACCTTGAGACAAAGTAGGGAGAACATGAGGAAGGGGAAATAAAAACAAACATTTGCCATGTTGGATAGGTTCAAGGCTTCTTAGATTGATGAAGTGGTTAGGAGGAGAAGGTTGCACTATATTCATATGCGCTTAGAAATTCATGAGCACACCTTTTAAAGAGGATTGATGAATATTTATGCATTTAAAACTGTGGATTAATGGTTGAAATTTCTCAACTCAGGTGACATTGCCTACCTTTGTATTAACCAGTAGCCACCACTAGTCATAATCTTGGGATGGTGGGGCCTACAATGAAGTTTGGAAATGAAACCGTATAGGCATATTCTTCAATTTGTTGGAAATGACAACCATTTGATACTGGAAATAAAAATTGAATTTGACAGGGAAATACCAATGGAAGGAAAAGGTTTTTATTTTATTTTACATAGCATATTTTATATATAACTACAAAAAATCCACGCCCAAAAAATTACCAAGCTTAAGAAGATTTTCATAAAATTGATTTAACTATCAACCTTAAATAAAAAGATATTTAAGTATCCCAAAAGTATAATTCAAAAAATAACAGTTAGATTTATTAGACACAGTAAAAAAATTAAATAATCCCCATACATATTATAGCCTTGGCCCTTGTGCAAGCTTGACTAATATATGTTCCACACAATCTCTATTATAAGATGTTTTCAACTATTTCATTGGAACCAACAAATGATAATTAACTCATTAAATATCTCTTAAAATGGCAAAAATTCAAATTCACCCCTATTGAAAATAGGAAGAGAGAAATATGCAATAAAGGATCAACCATAAAATTAAATTTTAACATGGGTAAAATTGAAAATGATAATAAATAACCCTCCATTATCCTTATATTAAAGACTAAAGAATCTTTTTTTAAAGGTGCTATATAATAGGGACATGAGGGAGTATTAATTATATTAGCATATTTATTAGCTTGTTCGAGTACAATCATAACTCATAAGCATTGGTGGTTAAAAATTGCTTCCAAAAGCCAACATGTTAAAGAAATAGAAATATCCAAGGAAATAAGTAAATATCTTTACTATCATATTAAACGTGATACAACAAATTAATCATCCTAGGATATCTTAGATGATAAGAATAGAGTAAATTGTTCACACTGCTTAACAAATGCACGCATGCATTATAATTTGAAAATAATAATAATAATAATAATAATAATAATAATAATAATTTATTGTTATTATTATTTCAACTATGGTTACTTTTTAAATGACATTTACTTTACTCAATTTATAAAATCATATTTTAAACATTTGAACTCGACAAAAAATAATGTACCAACAATTCAATTTCTAACATGGAATCAATTACTTTAGATGACCAAAAACAGATTCTCCATTATTGTGTCATTTTTTTTCTAAGATACGAGTACCTACTTGAGTTGGCTTGACCAAAGAAAAATGTGGACACCGACTTAAAAGATGGACTGTCATGATTAATAGCTTTTATTTTTCTTGTTGACTTCTGTAATGGAAAGACTTCTACTATTGTGTAATTTTTTCTACACGACCTTAATGTTTTGAATGGAATGACTTAAATATATATAACTTCTTTTATTCCTCCACTGTTATTGTGCCATTTTCTCTACGCATATGAATTGACTAGACATCGAAATTATGCATCAGCATAGAAAAATAAGACAGCCATTATGGTCTTTTTTAAAAAAAAAAATTATTTCTTTTTGCGAACTTATCTCAAAAGCAAAAACATGATGGCTTTTTTTAATCAAATTTGTAGGACATTTGGATGAGGGATTTCATGGTCTTTTTTAATAAAATGTCATGATCACTCACGACTTAAAAACCTTAATTTTTTATTATTATATAGACTCAAAATGAATTCATATTTAGATTATTAACGAAAGAAAGCTGTTGCAGTAAAAGAATTGAAGAATGACCAAAGATGGACGACAGGGAAAAGGCTTCATGGTTTGTGGTTATAATATAAAATTTTGAAAAATAACATGTCGACTCTCATGTTTTTTGGCCAAAGAAATAACCATTCATATTGATTGACCATAATCACAAGTCCCAACAGAGTCAGCCCGAAACAAACAACAGAAGAACATTAAAAAAATCAAAATCAAATTCAGCCAACATCACGAACATCAATTTTATTAGCCCCTAATATGTGATCGAGGTCAACAAATTAAGATGATCCAATTAATAATGAGTTATTCCATTTTCCATGGGAATATAAGTTCAAATACGCTGTCGATCTGAGGATTTTCTTGCAAAGTATAACTTGTTGAAAATTAATTTGCAACCTACCTTTCAAATTAACTTTAAAGCCAATGGTATTTAGATAATCTTTGAAATTCTAATCACCTGAAGGACCTTTGGTAGTCTATTTCTTGAAGTTGGAATTGCTCAAGGTATCTTTTTAGGTCTTTATAATAATAAGAAGTTAAATATTTTTCTTCTTTTCTTTTACGTTAATTTTGGTTTTATTATGTTTTTATGATTTTCTGTTCTACTTTTTATTTTATCACCAAAACAAAATTAACACATACCATTTCATTTGTTATTATGAGAGCCTTTGATTCAACAAACCAATAAATGGGCTTAGCTGTGATGTTGATAGAGAAAATGATTGGAATTGGGTTAATTAACATTACATGAATATACTGATGAAGCATACAAGAAATCTTCTTTACCCACATTTACAGTGTTGGAGAAGATATTTTCACACTTATCAACTTGTTGGAGAAGATACCAAGACCACATATTATTGCCCCACTTCCTCTATGCCAAGGACATATGAGTTTACTTGACTTGGAAATACAACATTCTTTGATTAAATCAAATATTCTAAGGACTGTTAGAGACTAAAGTGTGCCATCATAGGCAGATTATTATGACAAAAAAGAATTCACAAGATTTTTTTGAGCTTATTCAAGCTAGCGTGTATATAGGGTTTGATTTAAAATTACTAGCTCTAACCTTCCC